TTATTGCATAAGTATACCTCGTAAACTGCGCCCAAAGTTTTCATCTATGTTAAAAAGGTGTAATGTAAACTGCGCCCGACAACTTAAGCTGTGTCCCGTTTGTAAATTGTACAAAACTTTTGACTTATTAAAGTCTCTATGATAGTGCACTTTTTCAATTATATCACAGAAATTTTATATAACTTTTAATAACTCGATTTGTGTGAATGATGCTTTTTACTGGTCGATCACATGTTTTAAAAGATATATTGTAAATGTTCAATCGGTAGAACTTAAAAATAGAATATATAGTTAGAAAAATCGAGTCAAAATATTTTTACTAAGGAAGCTATTAACTGTGATTTAGTTTTACGTTCATGTACACATCGTATCCACGCGTACATTATATCATGATAGTGCAAATACATTATTAACTAAATAGCAACACCAATAAAGGTCACGATTTGCGTGTGTATAAGGCCCAATCACGATATTGTAAATGTAACCCATAAGCGAACATCATACACCACGATAGATGCGACGATCGTTGCTTGAAAATTTGATTTTAATAAATGAAAAACTGCCATAAAAATAATGCATTACAAACACAAGGTTAAATTTATTACTATATAGTCTATAATAATTTACTCGTAGCTCAATGATTTTCATAAAATGATTTCGACGTAAAAATCCAGCTGTCATTGCACGCTGCTCGTAGAAAAACGATGAATAATCTACAACATTGTAAATAATAATATTTATCATTGCAATAATAAATTATAAAATATGAAATTCAGCGTATTTTGGTTTAAGTTTACTGATTTAAGTTCACGGTTTCATGGACATGTCCGATGTTGGTGTACCTCGTTTTATGGACAAATCCGACCGAGATGGGGAATTTGACAGCGGATTCATGATCTAATCGGTTTAGGCTCCATCTGCGTAAATGAACAATTTTAAAATGCACATGTTTTAATAATTAGTTTATACCTAGTAGTTTATACGTATATGGTCATCAACATAAATTTAAAACAATTTTTTTTCAATGCCAACAAACAGGACGTATTTCTAACTACTCAATAAATTTTCAAGGACGACTATAAGAAAAATCTTTAAAATTATTTTTAAAATCGATCGAGTAGTTTTTGAATCTATTAATCACAACCACAAACATACTAATAATTTTTTTTATGTATTAATAATGTATATATCGTATAAGCCACCCTTCCTATCACCGTCATTATAATGATAGAAGTAGCGACGCCACTCGAACATAATATGGTAACTATATTCTATTATTATTTTTTATAAGTTATAACTGAATCAAAGTATTGAGTAGTAATCAGTAATTATATGTATATTAATTATGATTTTGATTTTTTGATCCATAATAATTATTATTGTAATAGGTTCGTTAAGAGTGTAATTCTTAATATTTATTTATTTATTTTTAATTTATTCTATCTTATTAAGTTAACCATATTTAATAATAGTATTTATATTCATTAATTAATATTTATAATATTATACTAATTAGTAATTACCAATATTGTAATACTAAATCTTATTGTCTTATTATCAAGTATTTAACAAAAAGGTTTACCCCATTTACTATAAATAAATAATAATAATAATATGTATACAAGTAGGTATACCAATAATTATAGTAGGTATACAAAAAAATTATTGTTTTTAAAAATTGATAATTTATGATATTTAAGCGTCATAATATTACAATATAAATGAGCATTTTGATTTAGTGCATGATTGTCTGATATTACTGTATCAAATTCGCCGCGGATTTTTAGGCGTAATTGTTGCGTAAGACGTGTTTGACTATCATTCAGGCACGTATCTCAAATAACCACAACGCACAGCACGTCAAATATTGAAAACACGATTAATCAATAACTAATGAAAAAAAAAAAAATATTTGTATTCATTAAATTGTACGTATATATCATATGTGTAATAAGTACATGCTTACCGATAGTACCTTATTATTCATGAATATTAAAATAAAATAAATAATTAGGTAACTGCTCTACTGTACAGTGAGAGTCGGTGTACCTACCTAGTCATTGAGTCCATTGAGGAGTAAATCATAGTAATGTATCATACATTATGTATGTGTTATATTTGAATTCAATGATAAATCATTGCATACGAAAAACAGTACTAAGCGAAAACTCAAATGTACTAAATATACTTTATGACATATTGTTATTAAATTTATTTATTTCACTATAAGAATATATAATACACTAATACAGTAGGTTTCATTATTTTTTGCCAAAAACACAGCAAAGAATCCTTTAAAACCTCATTAAAATAAACTAACTATTTACTAACTTATTAACTTTAAAATACTTATTAAAAAAATATCATGACTTTATATTTTTAATTTTTTTTTTTTTTTTTTAATAAATATATGAAAAACTTACTAAGAAGTTTGAATTAAATTAATAACTAACATTTAATTACATAACGTTCAACAAATTTTTTTTATTGATATTAATAAAAAAAAAATTGAAAATGTCAAATGTCTATAAATAGCTTTGACTTGTACCAAGAAAAATAAAATCGATTTCTCCGAACACTAACTATGCGTAAAAATTCCTGATTTTTCCTAATATTTTTTTGTTTTTTCTGTCAATGGGAATTTTTTACTTTTAATCCTTCAAAGTTTAAAATACCAACTAGAACCGATTTTCAACAATATACAATCTCCGTGTTTGAAAATCACAACATTTTTCTGTACCAAAAAACAATGACAGACAGAAAAAAATACATATTATATTCTCAGTTCAGAATATTAAAATATTCACTATTTGTTATACTAAAAAAAATTTCATTTAATTGGTTATTTTCACAGTTATTTTAAGTCTTTCACGTGTTCATATGATTATCCTACGTCATAATATTTGTAATATTCTATTTATTTTAAAAACTATTCAGATATTATAATGTATTACTCGCTACCTTCTATATTCTCTAACACGAGTTTAATTTAATGCCTAAAAAAGATAGATAATCATTAAATTGTAAAAGTATTTTGTATTACGTAAATTATGAGATGATTTTAATAAAAATATTACATAAAATTATTAATTAATAATTTTCATAAATAATAAAAAAATGTATACCAAGTATGATTCAGCAACATAACACCAATCTAATATATTATGTAATGTTCAAAATATTGTGAAATGTGTTTACTATTAGTATATAGTATATAGACGTTTTATGTATACCAATCTAGATTAATATAATTAAAAATTATGAACGCTAAATGTTAATACATAATAGTCGAAGACAATAATATATTATTAATATATAAAAGGAATTATTATAAAAACACTGTTTTCCGAACCAAAACAAAACTATTCGAAGCATCAGTGTATTATGTTATTATTACATATGCATTTAAAATTTAAAAACGTAATTCAAGTTGTTAAAAACTGTTTGTGTTTTCAAACTCGGGGGTATTTTAATAGTCGTCCATCTAGCACACCCTTCACTAGTGCTTAGTCGCATCCATTGTAAGAACTCTCAACGATTACCGTTGTATCCCAGCAAGTCGTACATATTACGACTTTACCAAAAACTATAGTCGAACAAATAAAGTAACGCAATAACGAATTTACAGTGTTGTAGTCACGTGTGATGGAAGGGGCAAAGGAACCATGTTCCCCACCATTATTTGTACCATGTATTAAAATTTAAAAAAATTTTAATTTTTAATTCTACATTAACAATGGCTATTGAGAAGTTCAACAGACTGACCTTGATAAGTATAAGCTGAAAATATCCCCAACCCAAAAATTATTCAAATTTTTATCATAGAAGCTCCAGCGTCTTCGATTACTGGACCGAGAAAAAAATCACTATGAATCAAAATCTTTTTAACAATCGATATAACTCTTATCGATAAATTTGAAAACCAATTATTATAAGAGATGTAAAAAAGTAAAACTAAACATGAATAATGACTTGTTTACTGCTAAGTATTTTGTATTTCCCACCTCTCTTACAGTTCCATAAAAAAATCCTAACTACGCCGCTGAACATATATTTACATAATATATTGAAATCATTACTCGTACACACTCAATCGTTCATACACACACGCAGTTTAAGGCGCCCCCCCAATACGCACACTCATACAATAGTTATAACACTATTAATTATAATGTGATGCACATACATGATTCACTGTCTACGGAGTGAATGTGTAATTCATGCGCAGTTAGCGCGTGTTCGTGTGCGTGTTGTTCGCGATGTTGCGCCGTGTGTATTGTGTAGACGTACCTATATTATAGAGGTACCTATAGACGACATCAACGCTGTCTCGAAAAATATGTTCAAACGCAGTTTAATAATTTAACAACAATGCAAAATAGTATTATGTTTTCAACGATTTCGTTTTGTATTTAGACGGTCAAATATAAAATACAAATCATCATACTACATATTGACTCAATTTAAAAAAATATGTGGGGGAGGGGTACATATTCATCATAAATTATATATTCTATGATAATATCTACAAACACAGCCTTTAATTTTTGTTAAAAAAAAACATAATTTTTACATCAATTTTTTTTTACATTTCATACATAATATATATTATATATAATAATAATAATAATGGTGTAATAAAAAAAAAAATAGTAGTCTCAGCGAGTAATAATACATATATTAAATCATATCTTATGTACAAAGTTTGCAAGACTAGATAATGCTCGTTTTTCACGAATCGTGTCAAGTCTGCACCAGTATATGATATAGTGGTGTCATCACATCGTGTCTAAAAGTTTATATATATATATATTATTATATTATGCGTAGTTGCGAAGAAATCGCCGTACGATAATAATATTTTTATGTACCTACCGCGAAGTCACACGGGCAGTTTTTTAATTTTTTTTTTTTTTTATTCATAACATTACAAACAACAATATAATAATAATAATGATTATGATGATGATGATGATGATATTAATAATAATAGGCACATAAACGTTATAATATACGAACATATATTTATATATATATATATACTTTCACATTCTTAAACGGATACGTACGCAAGTTTATATATACACATAGATACAGAGATATAGGTGCTTTTATATTATCACTATCATTTCTTTTTTAATCATTTATTTAATATATATATATAAATATTTTTTACTTTTTTTTTTTTACAAACGTTTGCGCGAGAATGGAAAAACTAATTATTAGGAACACATTATATAGGTTGGAATATCTCGAACGCAATATTGACACAAACAAATAATATACAGATACTTAAATACGTATATATGTATTATACATATACCAATATTATAATATTATCTTGACATGCCCGAAGCGGGGACATGGTACCTTGTCTCTGTCCAACGCACGCGCGCGCGCAAGCACACACACGAAAACCCGTAAACGTGAACACGTGTGTGCGTGCGTACAGTCATCGGGCGCGGCGGCCTTTTTTCTTCTTTTTTTTTTTTATGTGCTACACCCGGGCGACAGTTCGTCTGCGGCTGTTTGGCCGGTGACCCAAGACTGACCGCAACGCGGTTGCTGTTGCTGCTGCTGCTGCTGCTGTTGCTGTTGCTGCTGTTGGTGTTGCTGTTCGTACTGCTGCAAGCTCTGCTCGAGCTCCAACAGCTGGCCCATAAAGTTGAGGTTGGGCGATATGATCGGTCGGGCTGCTTTGACCATCTTGTATGCGTCCACCATGGACGTATTCCGGTGGCGCATCACGTACGCGATGGCTATGGTCGGCGACCGGGATATGCCGGCCTGGCAGTGTATCAGAACGCTTCCGCCGGACTTCCGGGCGCCTTCTGTAAAAACCAACGAAACAGATCGCGATCAGTAAAAATAAATTACGCGGGCGTGACTTTAGCGGTCAGCGGAGGCGATTGTGCTGGTGCTGGTGGTGGTGGTGACGGTAGTGGAACTTTGGGAGTATTATCGGTGCGTGATTTATGCTATTTTATCGATTTGCTGTCGATCAAAACACATTTAAATAATGTTGGCGCGCGGTCGTGTTGCATGATTAATCCCGACAAATCAATATTGGCAGATATTATCAATATTTTTTTACACGCAGCAGTAGCCGTCATTTGTACATGAGCTATACCACGTCCATCTCTGCGAGACATGACTCACCGCTATCGATAAATGGCGTTATTGCACGTGTTTAGAGGTTAATTTTAGCAGACAACCGAGCCAGAAATAAACAAGTCGCGAGCAGCACCCGAATTTGGCTATAAAAGTACAACCGCGGTCAGAGATCTGGTAGACGTCCAGCGTTAAATCAAATCTCGATGCGCGTCCAAACTGACGGTTTTAATTTTGGCTCTAGACGCACTTCTAAACGCACGAGTCTATTTCGAGTTATACGTACGTTATAACCAACATAACACACCTACACACCCGCCCTACCCGACCCGTCATACAACAATTCGCTTATGGTGTCATAATCGTATGGGTCGCACAAGCGGACGATCTAATTTTGAATTTTCACGCTCAAATCGCCGCCACCACAGGATCCCACGGTTTTATTGAAATTAATAGTTCTGCAGAACTGTATAGCTACTGTACTACAGCTGGATATTATGCATATATAAGAGGGCAACAGGAGAACTTTCGTGACGTCATCTATTGTGACATCAACGGGTCTAGTACCCTCATGAATTGTATATAGGGGTTGTCGCCGCGTGTACGCCGTGGAAAGGGGTGACAATCACGGGGCAATTACATTACGTCCAAGAACATATATGAGTCATTAGCAGTAATAGTTTTTTGGGGAGAGGAGAAAGTGGTGCATCGATGACGGGTAATTGGGAATAATCTAATATATGTATATATATATTAGATAAACCATAATATACATTTATGTGTATGGTTCACACTACGAAAAAACGATGACCAAAACAAAACGAATAGCGTCTATTTGTAGTCTAAACGTTCACAACTTAACAAGACGTACGAAAATATATTTTACGAGCGCGTGCACTCGAATAATATCATAACAGCAGTGGTATCGGTGTGAACAGCTCCGCCGCGTATACGGCGGATACGACGTATATATATATTTATAAAATATATGTATAATAACACAACGTGACTCACGCGAGAGGTCGTGCGCCGATGAGCTATAAATGGCTAAACACAACCGCACCGGTGCGCTCGTCTAGAAATCCGCTCGCACTAACATTTCCCCGATCTCGTGTAAAAACAATATAAACATCGTCGACGTGTGTCGGTCGTTGGAGGTTCCACTTAAACGAAAAAGGGATTCTGGGCACACCCTATAGTACACCTAATAACACACGGAATTGTGTTTGCCGTTAATAGTTTCCAAATACGGGTTTTAAATACCGGTTGGACTGATGTTATTGTTTTGTTAAAATAGGAAAAGGAAGGGCGGGGTGGGTGGCGTGTTTCCGGACGGGTGTCCGCGGACGACGTCGTTGTCAACACGATATATAGGGGGAACCACCACCGCTGCTGTCACTGAAAACAATACAAACAATAAAACTCGGTCAAACGCGGGCGATGACGTCATCCATACGTGTACTATCGTGGAGTCTTGTACAATACAGCTGCCATCGTACTTTGACGTGACTCACAGGTCCATGGAAACGTAGGGGAAACTGCTTCTGTTTTCCCGCCCTTTTTTCGCGGGAGAAAAAGCGACCCCCTATGAGCATGACTACCTAATCTATACCACACTACCGTTAAATAACAATGATGAATACTGTGTATGTATTCGTTTGATGCGCAATTACATGTCACAAATGGCAATATCCTGCAGCAGTTAAATACACAACGAAAAAGAAAATTTGGTGATCGATATGGGCAGCGAAACGTTGTATCGAAAACTACGCATTGATCATAATTTAGTCTATAATAATAATATAAACCAGAAATGATGGTTTTCGGGTATAAGGCCTTGAATAGTATATAATAATCAATAACTTACCGATGAATTCAAAAGCTTCTTCGAAGTACTGTTTAAGATTAGCATGCCCGTTATCTAAGACGGAAAGTCGCTTGTACACGACGCCGGGAGCGCGGTGGTCCATAGTCGGGGATGGTGATTGCTGGCTTGTAGTCACGTTCAACACACGTGTCACCCCGATGGCGGTCATACTATCCCGGTCGTCAGCATCCTTGCTGTTACCGAGGTACAAGAACGGCAGCACCTTGGTCAGAGGGTGGGTGTCCATAGACTCGCGGTCCACATCTGGAGGGCAGCTGGCGCTCAGCGGCGCCGGCAACAGGGAGTTCTCGCACATGTCCTTGTGCCGGGAATGGAATTCTTTGTGGCCACCTAAATAGAAAAATAAAATAATAATTGTGTTAAAAAGACCATCTGATGCATCTAATTAATATTATAAAAAGATGAGAAGATAATATTTCCATTCGATTAGCGGCTGTTCTACTATTAATGCATTATAGGTAGAGTACTACATTATACATGATAGTATCATTTGAGATCGATCGGTATCCATCAATAGATATAACACTAAATGTATAGGTAACTTTTATAACAATTGACTGATATATTATGTAATAATATATCGTCGGTCGTTCAGATTGATCTAAATTCTAAATAATAATTATTCTGTGTTCTATAAACAAAATCGACATGTTTGTACACGCAATAATAACATAAAATCGCTTTATTTACAAACATAGAATAAAAGTTTTAAAAACAATCAAATTGTAAAAATATGTTCATATAGAGTTAAAGTAAACAGTCTCGGTTTTCAAGATATATTTCGTTTGGGTAAACAAGGAAATTGTAATTTGATTAAGTCAAAAGAGTGACATTAAATATCTAATGGTATTGAGGTTAAAGCATTAATCAGCGTTGTTTTATATAAATAAGTTTCAATATAAAACAAAGTATTACTATTTGTATATTATTTTTAGTGAAATACAAGTATTATTACAACTATGAGTAACTTGTAACTTTCTTTTTGATGATTCAAATTATTATACATGCGAAGTGTGTAAAATGAATACAAGACACAAGTGTAAACAGTTCTAAATATATTTTCGTTTTATAATAACACATACATGATTACTAATAACTGAGAAATGATTAGTAATTACTAACCACTATTGGTTTTAGGGTATATACCAACAATGGTCAAATTTTAGTAAAATAGATGAAATCAAACAGATTTCTGCGTATGCACCAAACAGATGGGTTTAATAATATTACAATAGAACACAATATAATAAGATCATGATTACTCGCACAGTCGCACATAACATTAGCCCAGGGAAGGGGAGGGGTCGAAATGATCGTCATCGATCCGTTGATGGTTATTTGCGTACCTGAACGGATTCTGCTCCAAGTGGGACAAGCGTCCAGGGAAAGTTTGAGCTTAAGCGTGAGTTTCTTGTGTCCTATTGCGGCGGTCATCTTCGCGCTTTTCCGTAAAAGTAGATTGAAGATGATATTACAACAATCGGGAACGCGAACACGAATGTTTTTAATATTGTTATTATTATTTATAATTATCGTATTGTAAATAGTTGGTCAAAACACGAAACGATATTCAATAAATATGACTGTTGATTATGTATACTTATAAAACGTGTATGATAATATTATAATATACTATATTATAACTGTTAAAAAATATATATTACTGAAATACAATAACAATGTTTTATATTATATTATATTAAACTGTGCGAATCCGTCGGAAAGAGGTCGAGAACGAAGAGGGAAAACGTTTGCCCACGGAAGGCTACGCACAATATATTTGTACCACACACATTTTTTTTTTCGAATACGCGGTAAGCGGTTACGATCAGCTACATGCGACACGTTACACGATTGCGAGTCGATTGATGACAACTGGCGACGTTCGAATCTGCGAGCGCGGTCGCACGCGGTCCTCTGGAACACGGAAGGCGCACTGGCTGGGAGGGGCGAATAGTCACACGGTGAGGGGCCAAGAGAGGGGTAACGCATAAACACATCGTACTACTACTACGCGGCGGCGTACAAACCGGCTGGTATAATATAATATCGTAACCTCTCTCGCTGTGCATTAGTCATCCGACCTTGTCTCCTCCCCTTCGGCTCGCCTTCCCCTCGGTCCAACCAACGCCGCCGCCGCCGCCGTGAATGAGAGTGTACACATCACATACCCCCGCGCGCGTATTATATTATTATTATTATTATTAGACTTTTCGTAAACAAGCGCCGACGCCGATATATTTTTCGCGTCTCGACCGACGTAATTAAAATAATTAAATAATGTTTCTATTAATTATTATGAATAATATATACTGCGTATTGTACATTGCGCATGATGTATCACCCGCCATAAAGATAATACACTCATCAAAAGTAAAAAAAAACAAAAAAATCATTTTTGCAATCCACTGTTATTGTTATCAATATAATATTTTAATGCAACACACTGCAATCCCACAGGTATTGGAGAAAATATGCGTTTGGTGTGTAATATGTATACCTACTCTACGATAATGATAGTACATAATATAGTAAAATAATCGGTAAAAAAAAATCTGAATAAATAAAAAAAAAAAAAATTATAATTTACATACACAATTATTTATTGTTTAGTCATTATTATTAATTAATAATAATGCAGTGGTGACATTATTTACTCTTGGATACCTATAACATGTTATTATAATCATAAAATATATTTAGGACTTGGAAAAAAAATTTTAACATAAAATATTTGCGTCAGCGATATAACGCATCGTCTCAAACAAAATTAACTGTTCATTAGAATTAAGTCCACAATTATAATATTATAAAAAACGTTGATTTTTAAACTAAGCCCAAACATCAATAATACTAAATTCGGATAAACTTTTTAGGCTCGAACTTTACAATTCACTATTCAGCAATAATTTTCTATTTTTCTTGTCAAACTTTTTTTTAATACATATATTGTATCTAGAAAAAGTAATGTATGTTATATTAAAACTCGATATTTCAAATAAATTGATAACTAACTTGAAAATTTGAGAATAAATTCAATTTAATTTACTCGTTTAGTTGTGTGGTAGGCGGTAAGCGTATGGTACACACTACATACTGCGAGAATTATAATTGAATTATAATATTTAAATGTTTGCGCTGTCTACTATGTAAACTATATTAAACTATTAACTACCTTTGTGTTTTTTTAATTTTAATTTCATATTCATAACGCCCTACGGTGCAAATAATTACTCACTGACATTTATGTATACAACGATAATATTAACTTATAATTTATTTGGGTATGAAATACATTTTTATCCATAGGATATTTTGTCGGTTTACCGTTACGAATGCGTGCCAAAAACCGGGAACGATTTTTCCGCCCCGTTTGACCGAGCGGCGGAGTGTGAAATCAAATTTTGCACATAATGATCGTCAAACGCCACTATAGCGTCATATCATAATTTAATAATATTGTATTTGTGAAACAGATCGCCACCCTTCAATTTATTACCAGTTGTGTTCGCATAAATGCAGCGTATATGATACAAAGTCTGTTTCACTTATCGAAATTCGATCGTTATCGTGCGAAATACGAATAATAATTAATAATTAAACCGATGAGTGGATTGATATTCTGATTTTTAATCGAACCGTCAACACCATTAGTCGGCGTGGCTCAAGAAAAGTATCTAGGAGATATACGATGGTAAAACGATATTATTTATTTGTCTGGACAAAAGTTTAACGCTATAATCGAGTAATATATTTATAACAACGATTTATACATCACATTACTCGTCGGATATTTAATGGGCCTATATAATATATTGTACATACACGAATACGGGTACTTAACAACTGACGTTTTTTGATATATGAAACTACTTAACGATAAATAAAAATAAATTGGTATAGTATTTTCGTATAATTTATTATATTGTTATAAAATTATATATCCTCTATATTATACGCGTTGAGCCCTACAAATGACGACATCGTGTTTAAAACACTGTGGTATTGGGTTTCATCTGGACAATATAATGCTATTGCATTGACATGTTTGTTTTTCAACTACAAATTTTGTTCATTTTGAATTCGCTGTATTTAAATTATAATTTATAACAATGATCTAAATAATAAATATTTTCAACAAATTAAATATTATCAAACGATTATACGATAAAATTATTTGAATTTCAATAAACCAATTATAAATACATATACATAGTAAACAAATAAAATGACGAATTCAAAATTATTAAGTATTAATAATATGGTTTCAGATATTCAGATAATATATAATTATAAGACAATGTCATCAAACAAATATCGTATTTTTATCTATATTATTGACAATTTAATCAGATATGAGTTCAATTATAATACTTGTCATTTACTATACCATAATCAATTGATATATTAGGTACATTAAGAATGAGTCATTCGATTAAATCATATAGATGAGACGTACTACTTTAGCATAGTAATAAATATATACTATTATATTACAAGAATTTTCAAATGTAGAAAAAAAGTACTTGCGATGTTGCATTTATGATATTTTTTTCTTTATTTCGTCTACGTTGTGAAAATATTTTTCCCGAGTAAAATTATTAATTATCGCCGGCTGCGTAAACGCTAATATGCATCACTAAATCGCATCTCGCGTGTATAATAATAATAGTTAGGTAACAATTATCGAAAAACCGGTTATACGATGGAATGACAAAATTGTTTGGCCTTGATATGCTCCGAGACCTTTATGATACGCGCGTGTTTCCTCATTTCTTCCTCGTTGAATCAGAATGACCAGTCATATCGGAAGAACAACGAAAATAAATTTACTCAAAATATCAGTTGTATACTACTATACTAGTGTTGTGATATAGTTCAGAATCCTACCTAATATGTACTGTGTAGTGTGTAGTGTGTACCTATATACAAGCAGATTTCCGGAAAAACAGTTCGTAACTTGGTGAGCATATATATATATAGTTTAGGACTGCAAAGAAAATATGACAAGGACTACTACATAAATAATGACATAGGTGTATACTTATGGTTTAAATGTGTTATCTTAAATCTTAAAAACTTTCAATTGCGAATCAATTAGTAAACTGCAGAATAAAAGACTTAGCACGGATAACTTACAATAAAATTGCGCATACTAACATGTTAAATAATGATAATATAGTATAAAAGGATTTTAAAAACATATTGCATTTTTCAGACGTTGACACGCGATATACATCGATATTGAGCTATAATTTTCTTTAATAGTAGGTATAATAGATAATACCTAGACTGTATTATAAATCCAATTTAGTGTACTCATGTTATAT